CTCCTCCCTCCGCTTCCTCAGCACTCTCAAGTCTCGTTTATACCATATTAACCCAGCTTGCTTTCCGCTCTGTACCTGAATGCTCTTTTTTTGCCATTCTTCCCTACTCCCAGAGGCTACACTGAAGACCTTGCCTGTACGACTCTTAGCCCAACACGGCACAAACCTCGACCACGAGGTACACCACGTGGTCTGCTGCTTCAAATCTAGCCAATGTTTCTCCCTTTTTACATTATATCTACTCTATATATGAAATGGGCAAACCTATTTGCCGCTCTCCCCACGTGTCTGTTCTAAACAACACCGCTATCCACCCTGCCAACCATTCAAACAAAAGCCTGTGGTCCAGTCACGTCGCACCATTGATCGACTCCCCTGGCTACAAAACAAATAACTAAAAACTATCCCATCGTTCTTACCGCTACCAAAAACTACCGTCACTATCCCATGCACAGCTAAACAGGAGAAGAAAACAGAAAAAGTATGTAGCTTCGGGGAGCTTTCGAAAACACGTCTGCCATTCGAGCTCGAGCCAGACGTACGGCCTGGCTCGAGCTAGCCCAGGACATCGCCACCTTGCAGAGAGCGATGGAGTTAGCGCAATTACGCTCATACTGTTGGGGAGTGAGTCGAATGGGATGGCGGGGTAGAGCAGGCGACGCAAAAGGCTGGTGCCTTTGCAACTACCCCTGCTGACCTTACGCTTCGTAATGTACCGAAGGTCAAAGGGCAGGGCACTAGATGTTGTGTAGTCAAATGTCACAGCATCATATTAAACAGAAAGGTAAATGTGTGTCTCCCGAAAAGTTTTATTTGGTACCTGGGAGATTAATCAGGAAAGATTGCCACCTGTGCGGAGGACAGGGGTAGTTACAAACAGAACGAAAAATTGTGCAAGAAAAATTGTGCAGTCACCTGCAAATGTGTTCGAAATAATCATTCTAAAGTCACATTAAATTTTTTTTTTTTTTTTTATGATAAGTATTGGTGCAAATTTAAGTAGATTGGCGATTACTCTTTTTACTCGGAAAAGTATGAGTGGGTTACTGATGCAAGGGAGTGAATTACGAACATACCACTTTGACGGCAGCGGTACATATGCGCAAACACAAGGTGTAGAGTGTAGTAAAAGATTTTAATTTTGTTCGACCCCCCCCCCCGAAAAACCTGGAAACAGACGTGCGGTGGCCATATTCACGTCCCACTTCAGTTTTTTTATAGCTCGATTAGTGATGCGGTCTGGCTGAGCACGCATTGTGATTGACCCCATTCGCATCAATTAAAACAGCCACGGCATGCCGCTTTCTAAGAGTACTTGCCCGTGTTCAAGCAGTGTGCGACAGTGCAGTCGCGCATGGGAACACAATTTAAATGTAACATTCACATCTTTGTCCGAATTGCTGCGACTTTCAAGAGCGAGCAAAACCATAAAGGAAAAAATAGTATTTTTTTTATTCTTTATTCATAAGTTACCCCGCATTGCCCGAAGGCGTTACTGCAGGGGGGTTACAAACGTGAAAAAAACAATTCTTCGGTTGCAGAGCACACTTGTTCCTCCGACAGCTTGTTCCATTGTTGGATGGTCTTGACAAAAAAAGAATTAGCGTACATGTTTGTTCTGGCACGGTATTCTCGTATTTTAAAACAGTGATCGGTCCGGCTTGAAATATAGTGCGGTTGCTTTAGGTAATCGTCTTTGTTAATGCCCAGTCGACCATTAAATATTGAAAACAAAAATTTCAGTTTTAATTTGTTCCGTCGCGCTGAGAGTAATTCCCAATTTAATTCTCTTTTCATGTCAGTACAACTATCCTTTTGCCCATATCGTCCCAGAACAAACCTCGCTGCCCTATTTTGAATTTTTTCTAGTTTTTCAATTAGATACTTCTGCGCAGGGTCCCATACAACACATGCATATTCTAGAATTGGTCTAACACATGTCAGATATGCCGTTTTCTTCAAGTTTGTTTCGGAACATTTTAAATTTCGCTGAATGAAGTTTAATGCCCTGCCGGCCCTTAACATCGACTTGGGCGTTCCATGAACAGTCATTCGATAATATAACACCCAGATATTTGTACGTACATTCTGTTTTGATGAAGTCATTATTTATACTGTACTGAGTATCGATTTTTTTCTTACTCCTAGTAAAACTTAAATGGACACACTTTTTTGGATTCAAATTCATCTTCCATTTACAACACCAGCTTTCAACACGTACCAGGTCACTCTCTAATTGTTCTGCGTCATGCTCACTCATAATGCTTCTATATAAAACACAATCGTCAGCAAACAGTCGAATACGGGATGTTATTTGGCTAGAAATGTCGTTAATATAAATTAAAAACAAAAGGGGTCCCAAGACGGAGCCCTGGGGGACTCCAGATGTAACATCAACGTAATCAGACTGCTTGCCGTTCAAAACCACACATTGACGCCGCTGGGACAAATAGCTTTCAATCCACCTAATAACAGTTGAATCTAAATTAAATATCTTAAGTTTCTGGAGAAGAAGCGAGTGTGAAACCGTGTCAAATGCTTTACGGAAGTCTAAGAAAATACAATCTGTTTGTCTGCGCTCATCAATACCAGATACTAATTCGTGAAAACATTCCGCAAGCTGTGTTGTACAAGACAATCCCTTACAAAAACCGTGTTGCTCACTGACAATCAAATTGTTTGCGTTTAAGTGAGACACTATCTGTGAATAAAAAAACGTGTTCAATAATCTTACATAAAATAGACGTCAATGAAATAGGTCTGTAATTAGAGACATCCTTCTTCGGACCGCCTTTGTGGATAGGTACAACGTGAGCAACTTTCCAGTCATCTGGTAGAACGCTCGTAGCCAGCGACTGGGTATAAATTAAGTATAGATAGGGCGAGATTGCCTGAGCGCACCTTTTTAAAACGCGTGGTGAGATGCCATCTTGAGGCAGATGTCATAGGTCGTCTTGCACTTGCGAGATGCATTTCGCTGCCGATAAATGTTCATATGCCCGGATTATCTCCTCCACACCGAAGACCTGGCACACGGGCGACCTTCCCTTGCGGAGGTTCGCCTACATAAAAAAATATTCACCGGTCTTCAACGCACAAAAGACCGCAATAATACTACAACTCTGTCTTCGCCATTGCAACTGGCAGTGCGACGGGACGAGCGAACGCCGCATTAGGGTGAATTAGAGCCACGGCGCAGCGCCATTGGCATCGCTCCAGCACGACGCCTAGCCCGGCCGAACGTTCCCATAAAGGACGCCATGCGAAGCTTGCCGACGCAGCCCAGTCCGACTCAACGGTGGCATTTTCTGCCAATCTCTTGTGCTCGTGTACAGGCCCGATCTAATTCACTGGTACACCATACTCCCACGGTGCAGCGCTGCTCTTACAGGTCCAATGACCACAAAAACCTCTAACAAAGCTTGAGGGCGTCCGATGGGTGCGATTTGGGAATCGTCCAATGCTTCTTGAAACATCCTCTCGCGTTTTCTAACCAAGTTTTTGAATTCTATTGGTCATACATGGGCAATTAAACAAGCACTCAAATTGAGTTCTCATACAAACCCCTAGATACAACACAAAGAATATGCAACTCCATTTTTTTTTAGAATTGAGAGGAGTTGCTTCTTAATAACAATCTAATACTTTGTTAGACATCTCCATATTCCACGATGCAGGCAAGGTGCAACTGCGACATTGCTGTACTGGTAGGCTTCACCCTGCAGTGGAGGCTAGCGTTCGAGACGTAGCCGCCCGAGACGAGAGGGCACTAGTATTCAGCTAGCACGCCCTCTACAGAGACCGTACCACTCCATTCCATGGCAAATTACCATAATATCCCAAGTCATCCCACATCCCCGATTCATCGCATTGCGGGCGAATAGATTCCCAAAAAAACGCCGAGTGATCCGCCGCCCCTACCCCAAAGCAGACTCTGCGACCCCCGAACATTCATTCTACCCGACTGGCGCGGCCGCGGTTGGAGGTTGTCTGTGACAAAGTAAAATGAAAGAGGGAAAGACAGTTCACTTCATTCACGCATTTCCTCCCCAATTTCCGGGACTCCGAAGTCGGAGTACATGCATGCAAAAAGGAACATGATAACATAACAAAATGAAACTTTGTTTTTCTTACCAAAAAGTTTGTTCGGTCAAAAAAACTGTAACCCATTCAGGGATCACGAGGTCAGAGAATGCCCCATATCCCGGAATGTAGCCGTGGAGTGTAAGGTCACAGTCAGTCTCGACCGAAACAAGGTCATCGCAAACCCGCTCCTCCCAGAACGCGACCACAGTCGGTAAGGTTGTGCAATCTTTAAGGCAAAGGCAACAGATAAACAAAGACTTTTCTGCATCGCCGCAGACAGACGTTTGCAATGCGTCCCATTCCGAGCTCCATGTTTGTGGTGCCACCCACGCCGGCTTTCCCGCTTTTCCCCAGCACCGCTCTTCATCACTTCTTTCATCCCGCTCGCTCGTTGCGCCTGGTTGGTTTTTCTATCATTCAAGTTAACTTTTTCTTTTGCGAACAAAGAGAACATAGCGGGGTTATAAACGTGCAGTCATGGAACAAACGTTTGTTCTGTATGCTGATCGGTGGTGTTCATCACACGTATGCAAGCGACAAGCTCTGCGTCAGTAAAACATTCTTTCATGAGCATTTCTTGCGTAAAACAATGAAAGTAATCAGAGTTTTTAGTTTAATGCATCCCTTCTGCAGCCCCACTAGATGCTTACAGAAAAATTGGTGTTTTTTTCAGCTTTTTCTAAACATTTAGTGCTTACCCACCTAGACATGGCCCACCCCTTTTTTTATGAATTTCGGGTGGCACAACGGTGGGCGACAACTTGGGATGTCACGGTACACTCCCCCATTATACATTGACTCAACAGATTGGCCTTGAGGGCACCGAAAGGTCCGCTTGCAGCTATAAGTCCGAAACGAGATTGCACAAGTATTCTTACAAATAAATGGAAATAAAACAGAGTCCAAACAACACATCTGCAAGGCGGATTTATTGTTCAGACTGAATCGTTGAATAACAGTAGAGGCATTTATGTTAATTTAGTAACACTAGACTAGAGGCACTTATGTTAACAAAAACTAGCGAACTCAAACAGTATTTGTTGCACAAACTTGCTGTATGAAAAAGTTAACAAAAATAATGGCAGTTAAAGCGAAAAACAAGTGTAAAAGTGTAGAAAATATGTTGCACTTTAAGGCAAACTTGAGAATTGAAACTTGAGCAGTGGAAATGGGAAGACGAACGGATCAGCCCCAAGCTCTTTGATCGGGTGCCAGGGAAGCACGAAGCCAACGAAGGCCAAGTCAGCAGCCGCAATTCACCGCTGACTCTGCAGAACGCTCCTCACGCATTTCTTCAATCTCCTGCTCCGGCACCTTCCTTCCCGCTAAGAGAAGATGATGGGCCTGGAGCTGCCAACCTTCAAACCTGTCCACAAGCTAGCCGCACCGACAGAACCGACGTCTCGTGGGATGCGTTCCAAGGACGTTGGACAAACAAAGAAAGTTCCAAAGGCATAAAATACAGCACTAAAACAAAGGCAAAATTCAAAACATCAGTCTTCAGTCATCCTAGTGCACACTGTGGTCGTGCACCAGACGAAATCTATGTGCAGCGTTATTCTGTTCACAAATGCGGACAATGGGTCCACTTCAAGCGCCGATCATCGTTGTACTCATTGATGCTGCGCAAACTTCTTTCTGCAGTTCCAAAAAAAAAAAAAGTTTGGGGCCGCACACAGAGAAAACTACAGATTTCTGGGACACTCGCGTCACCTGTGTGTGTAATGTGTAGAAAACCACATTTCTGGGACACTCGCACAGTGCACGTGTCCCGAGTGAATGCAGCGGCGATTTCAGTGACATTCCGAACAGGAAGAGGTGCGGTGGCACTCCCTGCCAGCGTGACAGTCGCAAAAGAGCCAGGTGAATTGTGAATAGAACCCAATGCTCAAGACCTGGGGACGCTATCTTGGCTGCCAGCGCCGACAGATCGCACAAACCCTGGAGTTGCGACGCGTTTCCACTGCGTCGCAACTCTAGGATTGCCGAGAACATCCCGCAGCTTCGTTTGTCAGAATACCTTGTTTGCAAGCGCATAAAAGTTTACGCCATATGCCGGACAACCCTGGAAGCTGAGGAAGTGGCTTATGCGCAGGTTAGTCGCATCGACTGAAAAAATTCAATGTTTACCAAAAATGGTTAGTAATAATAGGACATACCTAGCAAGCTGTGCTGCTCAAGGTGCTAAACTGAATACCCTGCCAAATGGCCCCGTTGCATACTGTCCATGACAACACCTTCCTAAAGAGTGCCATTTGTTTAATGGCTAGAACTATGGAAAGTCACCCGGCACTTCTAAAAAGATAATGCGCCCTTCGCTCAAAGAAGGTCCGCAGGTATCACCGTTAACGTTAAAAAATCCAGTACACCCGCTCATTTACCATATGCTTACTAGATCCTTACAGTAAAAAAAGTGTGGTAAGCATACCCACCAAAAAAATTAAAATATCCAAAAAAAAAGTAGTATGAAAAAAAAAAAATTTTACGCCGATAACACCAAACTCTATTCTCAATGCGTCGAGAGGAATGACGGTGGCATAGAGAATTGTGGTAACTCGCTCTCACAAGGGCTTTACCAGACGCGAGCACGGAGGGACAAACGGGTGTGTGGGACCCAAGCAGTTGAGGCCGCAAGGGCGTCCCAAACAGGCGCGGGGGGTACAGAAGCTCCTCAGCCGAGCAGCACCCTGCGCAGCCGGGACGGGTCGACGCCGCCCTCCTCATCGGACGCCTCGGACTCGGAGCCGGACCCGGCCAGCTGCGAGCTGCACTGGGCCGAACAGAGGTACTGGAGCAGCGGCAGCCGGTACTTGCCGCAGAAGTCCACAAACTTGATGTGCTCCACCCGGGCATCGAAGTACACCCCTGCGCAGGGAGCGGCAATCACACCGGGGATACCGGGCTCCTCCGGCCACTTACGCTCATATGCACCCGACCAGTCCAAGGACCCTCGTTCCGAGAAAAGAAGGCCAGTCACCGGAACCAAAAAGTTAAAGACGTTTACAATTCCCTGCAATGCCAAATCAGAGCGCAGCCCTTGAGGAGGAGGAGGGGAGGGTACAAAAAGGAGGGCATGCCTCTCCTCCTCCCCCTCCCGTCCTCCTCCCTTCCTCCTCTCCCTTTTTCCTCATGACGTCACTCGTGGCCCTCTCGTGACCTTCGCGACATTACTCGTGACCTTCGCGACATTACTCGTGACGTCCTTATGATCAATGTCCCATAATGCAACGCGCGGTGACGGCGACGCCGCTAAGGCCAGAAATGGGTGCCTAGGAGCCGCGCTCTAAAAAAATGTGCTCTCCGCTTTGTCAAAATATTGGGTGCGGGAGAAAATTGGTGGTCCGCATTAGGTTCACATTTCCCGTTTTGCTCGCATTTCACCCTTTTCGAAAAGGTCCAAACGCACACCTCTCGCCGTAGTGCCGTTCTGCACAACCCGTCTCCTACAGACTCCATGGCAACGAACCACCTTCCGAATGTCAGTCTGAAGCCAGCCGACGTTTCCCCTTGATCGATTGAGTGCAGCGACGCTTTTAGGGCGTGACGACGAACCGATGCCACACTGCGGCAGACTCCGGGTGGCCTCTTGCCGAATCAGGGGGCAGTTGGCTCCGGGCTCAGATTATAATTAGGCCATCATTTATTTATAAGGAAGCGCGTGTTTTTCCCCATTTATTTTTCCTAAATTGGTGGACCTCAGCCAGTCTTGTACGGACGATAAAAAACAATAATTATCGGTGTAAAAAAAAAAAGTTTAGATTTGATGTAGAATCTTCATACAAACCTATAAGTAGAGCCCTGTGCGGATAACAGTCTGAGGAGGTGTTTCCTCGTAATTTCAGAACAGAATGTACCATACTTTGTTCAATTTTACTCGTATGACCAATGATTTTGTATCTCTGGCATGCGCAAATATTATACAAGCTGCGATATACCAACTGCCCTCCTATGCCTTAAATATTTTTCTTTGGAAGATTTACTCTCTTTGCTCATGAATCAGTCATGAATAGGAAAATAACTGATGACTTCTTGACATTACAAAATGACATCAATAAAATAGCCGACTGGTGTTATGTGGCCTCTTATCAATAAATGTAAATGCATGTGTTTCTCCCCCTCTTATCCCCAACCGAATTTAACTCTTCACACCCTTGCTTATGCTTCGACTATTTAGGGGTCCACATTACTTCTCATCTCTCTTGGCATATTCATATTAATACTATCAGCTTCAGCAACCTGCAGATTAGGATATTTCCACAACGACTGTCCGCCTCTCCTGTCCTTAAAGGAGCTGTGCAACGATTTTAACGCTGAAAGAATTGGCATCTTCTACTTTTGACATTGTTCACCTTGTCACAAATGACAGAAAACACACCTCCTTTCATCGAAATGTTGCGATTCCGCCGCGTAATAGCGAGGCAAAAATTGGAATATTCCTCGACCAGCAACCGCGAGCGGCGGCCATGAGAAACATGCGGCATGACGTCAATGGGGGTCCTGTAGAAAGATAGCAACTTGTGCGAATGCCTGCTCGATAAAAGGTAACTTTTCTATAAACCTTGCCGCTCCAACATATAAATATGAATGCGTCAAAACCCTGGTGTCATCGACAAAACTTTTATTATACGGAGTTTTAGTGGCGCAATTTATCCTAGGTAAACAAAACCGTCAGCTCTATCTGCGTGACGCAAACAGCCGCCAGAAGCCGGAGGGGGAGGGGGACAGGGCCGGACGGGTATGGCCGGACTCGGATGAGACTTTCCTTCTCTCACCATATTGTTCGCGCGGCACCCGCCAGCATAAAAAGAACTATGACCCGAAGGGTCATAGTTATTTTTATTGTCTAAAACGATATAAGTTGTAGTCGTAGACACAAAAAAAAAGAAATGCATCTCGAAAAAATTTTTTAACGCGCGCACACGCCTTTTTATTTTTGCCGTTTTCCTCTCCCGCTTTTCGCCTCCTCGCTTTTGATTCGCGACGTCAAGAATCATGAAATTTAGAAGCTTTGTAGGCTACATTTCTATAACATTTAATAACGGCAAACGTAAAACATGTTTTTTAATGCAATTGCAAACACACTATGGCCCTTCTTTTTGAAATACCAAAAATCAGAGTCCGGTGTGATGTCGGCTCCTGGATTTGTACCCTCCCTCGGAAAACTTGGTGGCGCACGAGCGGAGGATGATCGGTGGGTCGGAAAACCGGACGAACAAACCGGTTTTTCAAGGTCCGCCTCCGCCCTCATCTCTCCTGGTCCTTTCCTCCTCGCTTTGGGTCGCGGTGGCAACAGCGTGGAGTCGCGAAAGATAGTAGACTCTCAGGACTCCGCAATATTTGACGTCAACGCACCGGCGCAGATTGCGCAAGAACTTCAAATTCGGCATTTGGAAATTGTTTTTTTACTTCACATATACTGAATTCCCAAGTTTCGAATTTTGAGGGTAATGTCCCGGCATCATTTTCAATTGTTTCGGATAATAAAAAAAAATATGATTTTGATGTGTCAGTGACACTGACAACGCCCAAGATGTTTTATATCATTTTCTGCCAGGCAATTTAATAGAGTGTCAGGTGCGGGATTTGTAGCTACTAACAGATGTACTGAGGAGTAACCAAAGGGTTATCTCAACAACGTAAGCAATCTCAAAGGAGATGTCAAAACTAGTAGCGTGGTCCTCGCATCTGCGCAGCAATACAGACGGCGTTTAGGGCTACGTTACAGTGGGTCGGTTCAGTAGACGTCTCCATCGGTGCCAATGATCCTGTCTTGTCTAACTCTTAAAATATAACAGAACAGAAGACACATGTACCAGAGTAAGGACAGAGTCCAAGGGTATTTACTCTTGGTAACACTCTTCTAAAAGAACTACAATGTCCCCATCCAAAATGCCCCCGCGCTGGCAAGGTAAGAAAAGGTTTTTCCAGCCAGACACGGGGTTCCGGAGAGCCAGAATCGGGGAAGCATCGGAGAAGTCGCCGATATAAACCCTACCTTTTTCACAGTAAACGGGCGAGTCCCCCTCCCAAAAGCGGGAAAAATAGGGACAAGACCTCCTTGCCTTTCAGCAGTGATTCGAGCGGGAGAGCGGAAAGAGGTCACCCCATGAGAGAGTGAGGGGAGTACCCTCCTAGAAAGGGACCCTCCACTTCACGAACAGGTCTGAGCTCACGGTAAAGGAGACCAAGCGTTCCGACCCGCGGCTGTTATCACAGCCATCGGGGAAGGGAGATCACAGAAATCCCCACACAGACTACCCAATCCTTACTTTGCTGCAGAGTAACATACATTTTTAACAAAACCAAGAAAACTCAAATGCTTGAAACCAAAACACGAGCACGGAAGCTCACGGCTGGAAGTCACGTGGCTATAACCGACCACATTTTTTTTCCTCCGCTACTCCGGCGTGTAAAGCGGACGACGACAACGGTGAAGTTGCGTGAACCGTTTGTTGCACGGTTGTTTCAAGCTTATATCCCTTCTGTTCAATGTTCTGCACTTGCAGATCAATTGGCTGGAACCACGAATGATAGTTACGAAGTAGCGACCACACACCCGTCGCAACTTTGGTCCGTTGTGCGCCACCATCACATCGTCCAGTAGCAGTATGTAAAATCATGAGTGCATGTACCTCCTGTCCTGTGATATGTGCAAATTCTTTTCTTTTCCATCAACTTATTTGCAGCTTCTTGGACTGCCCACAAAAATGAAGTTTATATTGCCACGCGCGTCGCCGAGAGAGTGCACGCGTGGCCGAGTGGTTACCGTGCTTGGCTTTCAAGTGGAGGTCCCCAGTTCGATTTTTGAGAGCTACGCATCCTTTATTTATTCTCTCAATTGGGCGTTCTCACAAGTTCGAGAATCTTGTCATCTGATCGAGGTACGGATGTGCTACGCGCCGAACGTTCTACGCCGAATGTTCCAGAAACCCACACAGGCACATATGGGCTTGAGAGCGGGGGTCAGTCTCGCCCCAGCGCTCAATCCTGCTGTTTTGCCGACATCCGACACCTGCGATGCTAACCTTCTATTTTGTTTTGGGAACAACTTTGCCCCAAAATGCTTATTTAGTTATTTATTATTTATTTATTAATGTTTTTTGGCTATTTGGTTTCTGGTGTTTAAAATTTAACATGTTCTCTTTAAAGGAGCGGTCCAACAGTTTCAGTGCTTTGCTTAAATAATTTGGGAGTTGGTGTCTCGACCTTGCTGAAGTAAAGAACAAAAACCGCTTTTGCCTACATGTCCTAGTTTTTATTTTAAAAATGGACAAAGATTGAGGTTTTCGGCAGCTCTCAACTTCTTCACCATCTTGCGAGTCTTGTGCGCTGTGACGTCAATGGGGTGGGGTGGGGTTCCGGTGAAGCTCTCTCTCCAGAGCCATCTGTGAGCAGCGAAAACTCATCCGCTCGCGACCGCGTGACCATGTGCTGGTGGACGCAGCGCGAACAATATGGTGAAAAGAGGAAAGTGTCATCCGGGGTCCGGCCATACCCGTCTGGCCCTGTCCCCCTCCCCCTTTGGCTTCTGGCGGCTGTTCACGGTAGCAGATAGAGCTGATGGTTTTGTGGACCTGGGATAGATGGCGCCACTGAAACTCCGTATAATAAAAGTTTTGTCGATGATACCAGGTTTTTGACGCATTTATATTTATGTTAGAACGACAAGATTTATAGAAAAGTTACCTTTTATCGAGCAGGTATTCGCACAAGTTGCTATCTTTCTACAAGACCCCCATTGACATCATGCCGCATGTTTCTTATGGCCGCCGCTCGCGGCTGCTGTTCGAGGAATATTCTAATATTTGCCTCGCGATTATGCAGCGGAATCGCAACATATCGAAGGAAGGAGGTGTGTTTTCAGTCCTTTGTGACAAGGTGATCAATGTCAAAAGTAAAAGATGCCAATTCTTTCAACTTTAAAATCGTTGCACAGCTCCTTTAACGACGAAGACGACGACGGTTTGAGGAAGAAGAAATATAGGACTGAGTTGTTAGTCAGCGCTGAGAGTCTGTTCCCTCCTTGTGTGCCTGTGAGTGTGATTGATCAGCACTGTTCCATCCAAGCATGAATTACCAACTAGCCCAAGCATCCACATAATCAAGTTTGGTTCATCCCCACTGGCATCTGCTCGTCGTATCCCTCGTGTGGATGTGCCTGGGAGACGGACGAACCGCAGACATGTCGTCACGTGATCAATCCATCCGTGCATCAGTCTGTCGTGTGAATCGACTATTAGTGTTGTGGGTTGGTTTTCTCATCATGATTTGTCATTCCTGACAATATTCTTTTCTATTTTAATATTGAATGTGTGCCTTAGATGACCCCCGATTTTGAATATATCTGGTACACATAGTTTGAACGCCACATGACCATAAAAAAGAGGCTGAGTGCGACTGAAACTGGTTAATTCTTGACCGGGTGTTTCTGAGTGGAAAGAAAACAAACTTAGAGCTGCAGCTTGTGTTTTGGGTAGTTGGGCTGTTATAGGTCATGTTCAAATAAAAACCTCAGCGAGCATAAAGACTCTGTCAGTGCACCTTTAAAAGTCTTCTCTATGTTGCCCTTGTCCACCCAAAATCAAAATATGTGGCTTCGATTTGCAGTCCTCACCAATTCTCTTTAGCAAACCTAATTACATCTGTCCAGAACCGAGTCAATCGTTTCATCCTGTTAAATTACTCATGTTTCTCTAGTGTCTGCCATGAAAGCTCAACTTAACATTGATAATATTTTTACTCATCGTAACATTTCCCGCTTTTGCCTTTTACAGGAAATTGATTACCGCCCAACTCTATTACGTTTCTCCAAGGTTTGATCCTTCCTGCAAAATCGCCCAGCCCAGATCCAGCTTGACGGATTACCTCTATTTTGCCCTTCCCGACGCCATTATGGTCTCGAACGACCTCCCGAAGAATATTGTCACCGTCAGCGACGGCACCTAGTTTTGGAGCGATATATAACAACTCACAAACACCCCCTCTGTAATGCCTCTGAGGGTATTTGAAATAAATTAAACAAATAAGCAAATAAAGAGTCCAAGTCAAACGCCAACGCAGCACTCGAGTCTGACCTGCGGCTCATGTTGGAGTGCGGTAGGCAACGTAGAAAAGCGAGTAAACTTGAAAGCACACTTGCATAACGGACCCTGGTACGAGGTAGAAATGCCTGGAGCCAACTACGCGGAGGAGCAAAGGCTACAAAAGCTCTGGTCGGCTTTCTGAGGAAAACACGCCTAAACTCGTCTTTTTTAACAGTGCTGCGCAACTTTTAGAACCCCCCAAACCGTCAGCTGCGGTTCCCGCGGAACTTTTTCTTTCCAGATGCCCTTTTTTTTTTCCCTACATTGGTAACACCTTGCACGTAAAGATGGCCCCCATGCTGGAACAGCATGTTGCAAGTATTCCACGTGGACAGCAGCGCGCGTCTTAGACTCAACAGTCGAGCGCGCCGTAAAGGGCGGGGGGTACTTGGCGAAGACTCGGTTTGCATGAAAGTGTGCAACCAAGATTCCGTTGCGCACACTCGCGTCCTTATCTCCTGCGGCGTCAGTCCCTTATCTGCTAAAGAGAGCTCCAGTTTCCCTGAAATGCGTGGAGATAAAATGCTCTCCACTGGAGAGGTGCCAGCGTACCGCTGCACGTCGGCTAAAAGGGTTCCCAACGTCACAAGGGCACGTCAGTTCCAGTTGGATGCGCAACCTGCAATCCCCTCTGTAAAGGTCGAAAAGAGACTGGGTTTAATTTTCACTGGGTTTAATGTTCACCGACTGCGTGTCGCGTGCGGGACGTGAGAAAACCAACCCATGACACTAAGAGGCGATTCACACGACGGACTGATCTGCGGACGGATTGATCACAGGACTACATGTCCGCGGTTTGTCCGTCTCTCAGGCACATCCACACGAGGGATACGACAAGCAGACGCCGCGGACACTGGACTTTATCTGTCTTGGCGTTTGCGGACAAAGCGAGGATTGCAGGAATCGGTGACGTGACGGTCACGCGATACACGGTCCGCAGACGAAAATAGTGATTCTGTCAGTCATGTGGATCGGCTATAAGGGGCACAAATCTAATTACTACCGCAAAATTCCCAAAATGAGACCCAGTGGTTTCTACTTATCCAAGTCGAAGAGCTTGAAAACTTTCTCGATCATGGAGAAAGAACTGTTCTTGCTTTTCACTAAGCCCCCAGGCAGGATTTGGGATAACTCTAGCCTTTACCCAATCGGCCGAAGAAAGGCGAAGCGTGCCCGCTGTGACAGCTCATTCGCCGCCGGCAGACACAAAAAAGCGGGCCGCCACCACGACGTGCAACGAGACGTCCGAGCAGTTCTGCAGCCCCGTGTTCAATTTTACTGCTTTTCTAGTATCTATTGAAAAGGTTGTGCGAACGCACGAGACCCTTGCCACAACCGGCACAGTACACCGCCCTGCCACCAAATTCCGAAAGCTGCATGGCGTCGACCAATTGAGAACACACAGCGTCGCCCCACGATGCGACGTCGGGTCACGTGACATCAGTGTCGTGTGATAACACGGTTTCACGTGACGTTGTGTCGTGCGACCACATGACGAGTCGTCAATTCGAATCACGACCGTTGTGCCGACGATGTCACACAAACACCTTGGCATCGTCACGGCGTTCATTTGATGACGTCGCGGTGAAAGCTTTTGAAATGCGGATGACGCCATCACCCATAGCAAAATTTTGTCCGTCTATTTGTGCATTTCCCGCTAAATTTATGTGAAGTGACCAATACACAAATTCAGTTAACCCGCTAGATTATGCAGGAGAACTGATGTCATGTAACCTGACATCACGCGAACATTACGCCAATGTTGTTTCCCAGCTAAATTTAGCGGGAAAATTAGGATCACTTAAATCGACGTCCCTCAATGTTTATATATATACATATGTATAGTATATTGCTGCCACGTAACCTATACTAGACAATACTGCATATAGTCTTCTAAACAAATTAAAGTGATCACCTCTTAAATACAGCATTTTATGCATTATACGACTTTGAAGGGAAAGGTCGTTGCAATTTTAATCACGTTTTGTGGCAGAATTTTAGGTAGGGGTGGCCACTCAGTAGTGCTCACATCGAGGCTAAATTGAGAAAACCAACTGCACAAGCAGCTGTAATTGAATTTAAGTCATTCAGAAACCAACTATTTTAGTTACATTTCACTGCAACTTAGAAAATATAGTTACCAAAATTGTACTAGGGTAATTAGGTTAAGTTAAAAACTTCTCAACAGTCACTAGTATATGGCTTTGATGAACAGAACTGCAGAGAGGCAGTCGACTCTAGTAGTGGCAAAGAGCTAAAGGAAGCAGGTGCCTTCTTTTCCTTAAAAAACCTCGAGGAATGAACACCACCATATAAATCCATTAAGGGGGGACATGGGTCCTTGGAGCCAAAAACGTCCTAAAACTGCATTCTTTTGAAAATGGCGATGGCTGTTGTTCTTCTGAATTTACCAGGCTTCTAATTTTGTGGGTGAATATTTGGGCTATAAATCAACTAATAATGTCTATGCGGGCTGAATGAGAGATGAAGTGGATTCTAAAACATTGTTTTCGCAAGACAATTTTTGGACTCGTGAAAAATTTGCAGGAGGGATATCTCAGCATCCAGAGCAGATAGAAACATAACCTTTCCTGACATATGTAGCTAAATGTGTGAAGCATACAAATGTTGAGAGCAGATTTTCTAATAAAAGTCTAGAAAATTTTCTATTTGATTTTTTGTTTTATTTCTTGTTAGCCATGCATTGAGCACTGAACTTCAATGTGTGGTAAAATCACTAATAGGGGGTTTATCTTAAAAGTACTTGCAACATTGTATGCTTTACACTTTCTAGTATCTAGCCATGTGTTAAAAAGGATATTTTGTTGAGCAACTTTTTTCCTGTTGTTTGTCCAAAAGAAGGCAGGCATGTTTTAATTAGCTTGAGGACAATTCTCCTGACTGAGAAAACAACCAGATCTATGAAATCAGCACAAAAAGCTGAACAAGCTTATGCAGTTTCAACAGAATAAGAAAAAAAGCCCCAAGACCAGTGTTCCCCCTTAAGACTAGCATCATTCCGACATTTTGATATTATCAGAATCCTAAAAGCAGCTAAATTACATTTGAGCCCGCTATAACAAATCCCAATCAAGAGAAAAACCTTGGTTAAGCAGAAAATGCTCCTCGGCCCCCTTACGCCACCGGTCGAGGGCGCTTGACGGGGCAAGGACGCCCTCCGTACGGCAGCCAACCCCTTCGTGCCACGTCCACGAGGCTAGTGTAGCTTCCGCGGCGCTCCGACGCTGTTGAGGGCACTCGTGCCAGAGCCTGGCTTCGTCCCCTTTGCAGGTGCAAAAAAGAGCCTCACCCTTGCAGCGAGGGTTGACGCAGCGCCGGGCGGTGTCGAGGTAGGCCAGCAGAGCGGGGGGGAGCTCCCCCTCCCCGCAGGGCAGCCGATGGATCTTGACGCAGCGCGCCGCCAACTCCCGCAGCCGGGGCGGCTCGTAGGTCAGGTCCCGCACGAAGCGCACCACCAGGGGGTTGCCCCGCAGGCTGAGCTGCGAGGGGAGGGGCGCTGGCACCTGCCCCGAGGACCCCGAGAAAACCCACCTCAACGAGGTTCTGCAGCCGCACCAGGCAGGGGGGCAGGGTGGTGAGCAGGTTGTCGTGCAGGGCCAGGGAGCGCAGCCGGTGCAGGCAGGACAGCGAGGGGGGGAGGGCCACCAGGCGGTTCCCGCTCAGGACCAGGCTCTGCAGCTGCCCCAGGGAGCCCAGCCCCGCCGGCAGCTCCTGCAGCCGGTTGCCGCCCAGGTACAGCACCTCCAGCCTGTGGGGACCCGCTGCTCAGGGCACTCCCTCCCCGTCTGTACACGTCTCCAACCCATGCACCGACCGCGCCCAAAAAAGTGGCCCCTCCATTTCCACCCTGCTGCGTCGTGCTGTCTTGGCAGCGGACGTGGCAGACGCTTCTTTTGCTGCACTTATTTACTTAAAGGCCCGGCTAGGCATCACGTAAGGGAACAATAGTGACGCGGAACAGTGTTAAAATATAAAAAGGGGAGGATGTGATGGCAGCCCATACATATGTGGCGAGAAATTTTGTGATCGTCTGCTCAATAATCTTTTGTATTTGATACACCAATTTAAGTTTGTTAATCCAGTGACTAGCTTGTTGTCACAGTCTTTTCTCAGGTTGATAGAGTGTACCCACCCACCATAAGGAAAGATGCAGGACTCGATCCAGCTTTATGTGTTGCCTGTAGTTTTCACAAGCTTCATTATGTCTGAAATAGGTCTTTCTTTGTGAAAGAGCTATACTTGCTTTTCGTTACAGCACTAGTTTAGATGCAAGCTTCAGGAACTGGCAGGCATGTCAAACGAGCATTACGCACTCGGGAGCTCATATTGGTGTAAGGAAGTGATCGGTACCACATGTCCGAGTCCAAGAATAAGAAGCATTTTAGTTAAAAGGGTTAAAATCCGGGAGAGAAAAGGCAAAATAGAACTAAATGGACATTTCATAATATGAATCCACTTTTGCATTAATTAGGAAGATCTTTATAGGCATTGTAAACCACCCATTCCCACGCAGCCTTTTGCGTCGTCTGCTCTACCCCGGGCTGCTGGCGCTACACAGTTGACCAGGCATTTTAATAGAGACGTTTTTCACATAACTTCATACCAGCGCACAACTAATTTACCTTTGACCTGGTGAATTTTTGGATTGCCCGTTCACACAGTGTATGCAACCACCAAGGGTATGGGCGAAAAGGCTTAGAAATGGACGTTGTGCGTGAGTTAATTCCGAGTGCTTCTTTTTATCGTGTTACACTTTCAGAAAACTATGATGTATGGCTATCACTGTGTCATCGTCAGGTGTACAAATAACTTTAATAGAACAACCGCGGAAAATATGCAATGAGCACAACAAGCTGCAGCGCAAGTGTGGCTGCAATGTTGTTGAGCTTCACATTTTCCCCATGGATTTTTATTTATGAAGTCTGTCGACTGCGAGCATGAATCGCAGGGGCTTGGTATCAGACTCACTGTCACGACCCATTGTCACGTGTCACAACTAGAAGACCGATTTGGTGCAGGTGTTCTGATTAGGTTATCCCTACAAGGTATGCTACACATAGCGCAAGTTGACATGGGCGTTTAAGTACGCTCATGCGAAGGAATCCCCGGCCAAAGACAAGACATGTCGCAACTGCAACAAGAGGGGGCACTTTGCTGCAGTGTGCAAGACGAAGCGGAGGCAAGAAGGTCAGCAGGAAAATCGCGCAGCAAAAGAATTGTCGGTGGCCACAAACTCTGTCACATTTCTGAAGCTGAACCCTGACAACACACGAGAAAGGAATCTACGTCGACATCAACGTTTACAGCGTGACATTACGGTTTCTGGTCGACACTGGTTTGTCTGTTTCATATTCCTGACCACTGAAAATACACAAACAGTTGGGTCCAGGCACTTTCTGCCTGGAAGACGGAGGCAGCTGGAATGCCTCCAATCTGGTGGCTATGCCTGAGGGATGCGCCACGGAAAGAGGTGAACGGTTGTTACACTTGCTACCCATTCCTGAAGATCAAGAACTATCAACCAGGAGAGCTATGTCGGGCAACCAAGGCGAATACTCCGTCGGGGAGAATCTCAAAGCTTTGGCAAAGCCATGTCAAGTTTCAGGAGGCACAGACTCGGTTGAGGAATATCGCCTAGAAGCTTCGGTGACGCCAATACAAATTACAATTGGACCAGACTTCGTTGAACAACATCAGGAAGTTTTGAGTTTGCCAATACAAGTACCCCAAGATGAAAGTCCTGTTGGTAGACATCGGCTAGAAGATTCTGCGGCGCCTACACAGGCACAAGGAACGACGTGGACGGACGGACCTTGCAGAGGACTGTCGACAGGAGGATGACGGTGTCCGTCAATCTCTTGTCGTTCCTTGAGCCTGTGTAGTTGCTGCAGAATTTTCTAGCCGATGTAGGCGCCGCAGAATCTTCTAGCCTGTGTAGGCGCCGCAGAATCTTCTAGCCGAAGAGGATGACGGGCACCGTCACCCTCTTGTCTGTAGGACTTTCATATGAATTAGCTATCTTTCGCTTAGTTGTTTCGTTTCTCAGGGGGGGGGGGGGGGGTGATGTTGTGTTCTGCTTTTATGTTGGCAACAGTGTATAGACCATAACGCCATCTGGCTACCAATGACTGTAATTAAAAACACTTTTTCGTTCAACGTTGGAACGGATAGTCGGCCCTTTCTTCTGTGTCCTCAGGACACCACAAGGGGAACACTTTTTTTGGACGCGGTAAAGACACCAGTCGTTGACGCATTCCAGGCACCATAGCCGTGCTGCCGGAAGCAGCCGGTATTCCAAGTTTTACACCGCTAGACGGCGTCGTCGACGCCGCAAATCTCAATACCTGTTTCTCTTTACAAGAGAAAGGAAGGCGTACTTTTGCAGCTTGCCGATGTCCTCGGGGACGCACTCGAGTCTGTTGGCGCCCAGGTAGAGGGCCCTGAGCGAGCCGAGCGCGAGCAGAGGCGGTGGCAGGGCGTCCAAGCTGTTGCCGCTGAGGTTGACCACCTCCAGGTCCGCTAGCCCGGCCAGGGCCTTGGGCAGGTAGCGCAGGCGGTTGCCGGCGGCCAGAAGCACCCGTAGTGCTGGCAGGGCACCCAGCTCCTCGGGCAGCGCACCGAGCCGGTTGTGACTCACGTCCAGCGTGTGCAGCCGCGACAGGGCCCCGACGCGGTCGGGCAGCCGCTCCAGCAGGTTGTGCTGCAGCCGGGCCACGCGGACGCGCGCCGTGTCGTCCAGCAGCGCCAGGTTGGTGTCCGCCGTTGGGGCGTCCAGCCCCTGCCGGGACAGGTCCAGCACCTCGGGCCCGTCGGGCGCCTGCAGGTCGGCCGGGAGCTCGCTACCTGCCCCCCACGCCGCCCGCTCCTCGTCGGCCATGGTCACGGCGCTAGCAACTCGGCCTGTGGCGCCGTGTGCCCGACTACCGCCGCCGCCAGGAAACGAAGGGAACCACGCTGAGCACCGATAGACACAGGCACCGCGATATCCGCATCTCACCCCGCGTTGCAAACGGCTCAAAACACGCAACCAACTCAAGCAACACAAAACGCATGACGCAACCACAGACGCAAGTGATGTTAGATTGAAGATGACTCATTGAAGAACAATCAGCGACGTCTGTGACGTCACTCCTGTAAATTGTGAAAATAGTGGCTTTCATTTATAAACCTACTTTTACTAATAAAATGATTTTAAATATTATGCTGAAGTCTGTGACGCCACCTTCTGAAGTAGAATTATTTTGAGTTCTCCTTTATTGAAGTCGTGAAAGTGGCGGAGCGCGTCGAGGTGGTCCGGAGTAGTTCTCTCAGTTTCATCGGTTTCATACTCCGACCGCAGCAACTGACGTACAGGTACAGTACACTGTACCCAGGTATGGTTAGAGTGCCTTCAAGCGAAGCGGGACATGAAGGCACCCTAGGTATGGTGCCTGGAACGCGTCTTCGACTGGTGTGTTTAGCTGGTTTAGCGTCCTATCCCCCCAAACATAGCCCCCAAAGTGCCCAAAGTGGCAACAAATGACGTCACAGAAGCCGAAGTGTCCATGTCGCGATCCTGGCGGTTGGTCGTAGAAATGCTAACGAGGAGGCTGCGAGTAGCACGACCGAACACGAGTGTCGCTGTCGTCATGGCGTCCCAACTTCTGGCTGCCGAAACTTCCGTGGACCGCCACACTTGAGAGCGACTTGGAGCAGATCAGGCATCTGCTACAACACCACCGCTGTTGGGACGCCGCTAAGATCGCGACCGGCGACAGCATGACACTTTTATGACGTCATCAGGCGGAAATCGAGGGACCACTTTTTTGGGCGCGCTAAACACACCAGTCGCCGTGGAGAATAGAAGGGTAGGAGAGGGCATGACGTCAGCCGCGTAGCCTCCACAAGCCATATGCTCCCTTGACGCCTCGCCTCTTTCTCATTTTCCTCCTTGCTCTCCTCACTTATCATCCCAACGTGACATCACGTGACCGTAGCTAGCCTTCGATCTGATAAAATTTACTGGACGGAGCGCGCGCAAGCCTGCAAGGGAACCTTCTACAGGGTGATTCAAGGAGAGGCCAGGCTCTTTAATTCGGTTTCTTAACCTATCGCGCTACGACTTTGTGCAGCGTTGTCCAGGGATGGTGCATTTTTCTTTTTTTTTTTTCTTGTACAATTTGCAAAGAGCGATTTTGCCTGAGGAAAAAGTAAAGAAAGAAAAAAGGCTTAGCTGCTATGGAAACGCAGAAAGAGAACTCTCTTATATTAACTGGCGATAAACATGTCTCCTAATAACCAGTGCATTAATTTATGATACTTGATTAATTTGATACTTTTCCCTTTCTTTATATTAATGAGCGAACCAACTGAAAATAGACTAGTCAACTATTCCTAAAAAAACTTAAGATGCAACTTTTACACTTAAAATTGAGTTAGACATCGTATGCTTTGTAATCAATAACTAGATTAAGCAAAAACTATTGAGCGCTTGCCTCTAAATGCCTTTACGAGGCACGTTAGTACCCTTTTTCGTTAAATAATCACTTTGACTCGCGTTATGCACGTTACTACAAGTTACTCTAGGACTTCCGTTATGCACTGCGATAATGTCTTAAAACTAGCGTTATGCACTTAAACGAAGCGAGAGGAAAAATATATTACATCTGTGGATCTTGTCCAATTTCGTTAATCATGTCCATAGACGTATTACTGTTATTGGCACTATAAGAAACGAAAGTATGTAGTCTTTCAGTCTTCCTGGAAGTTGCCGTTGTTGCTTAGAACGCTTTGGAACGGCAGGCGATGATGTCCAGCTTGAGATTGTTCGCGTGGTTCACCAGGCCCGGGATCCATGGCAGACCAGATTGGTGCAACTGGTACCACTGAAGACATTGACACAACCATGCGAACAGTCTCAAGCATCCTTGTCGCCATAAATGTGGTATTATAAGACCGCGCGCTGGCCAACTATTCTGCAGGGTGTGGTTGGATGAGGTGCCGTTGACCTAAAGGCAGGTTCGCCGGGGCATCGCTGGCTGGATGCGTGAGGTCCAACTCACTGGGCTGCGGTGTGGGTTCCGCGGGAAACGGCCGGTCATTTCGCAGCGGCGATTCCTCCGACGACATCAGATCCCGCAGGACGAAACCAACAGACACGTTCGTTCTGGTCGTGGTCTGAGCATTGCTTGAGCGATCGGCCGGATTGCTCGCCTTTCTTGATTTTATAACAATGGTAACTGCTACTCAATCAGCGATCTTGCGTGATGTGATGTGATGTGACGCATTTTTCTCTTTTTACACATTACTACACTTGCAGCAATTATTCTGTTTTTTAGTGCGGTTTTTCACTTACCCGAGCACGTCGCTAAGTCGTAACCGCGTCCACTTTTATTCGCAATAGATTCTGCGCGATGCACAAGTGCGCTTTCGGGAGAGCGCAGAGCATCTGCACCGGACGACGAAGAAATGTGGAGCCGGAACTAGTGCCCTCCACCGATTGGCCGGGAAAGTAAATGGGAGAGGGGCGCCCTACTACGTCACAGAGCGTATTCTTGTGCGTTCAGTAAAAGTTGAAATCATCCAACTTTCTTATGTGCGCCTGGAAGGCTAAAGGAATCAGCACGACGTCGCGAAATACGCAATTTCGGGGAAGAGCACGGCGTACGCGCGCACAAAAAGCTTCCCTGGGCTATGATCCTCACTGAGAGGCTGTTTACATGCCATGTAACGAGCTTCTGGTAGCGACATGTAAACAAAATAACGCCCAAGTTGCCTTTATTGACAAAATACATGGGAAATGTAATCCCAGCGTGCTTTCGTTAGCTTCAATCTCCAGTTCTGGCGAGAAGGTAATGCGGCATCAGTCACTTTTACGTCCGCCTGGTCTGCTTCCACAGCAGCCTACCATTCTGCAATGTCCCACCAGGAAGAGGAGAAGAAAAGAAAAAAAAAAGAAACACAAATAAAACAACCGGAAGTTCATACAGAGGGCACCTACTCCATCCAGAGCTGTTCCAAAAGTCCGTTTAGTAGCGACTCCAACGGAGTTACCCGTACCGGAGTCGTGGAGTCACAACTTAACGCGCCCAATGAAGCGATAGAAGTCATCTGCGAAGGGCCACATGCGTGAGAAAATATTTGTTGGCAAGTCGTTAACAAAAATTGGAAAAAATAATGGACCAAGAGCACTGCTTTACAATGATAGCTGAAGAAGATATACATACGCTGTAAAATGTACTCCCTAAAATTAACTACTGATAATTGCCGGTGTACCAAAATTGCACAACCCCCCCCCCCCCGGAAAGTGGAAAGTCTACACCGCTGAGTGCACTAGTGATAGAGATAGTGAAGCCGTAGCTAGCAATGTAATGGTCAGCCCTGTCGATGGCACCCATGTTTCCGAGCGTAGTTGCATATCACGAGGTTTTTCTAGCATGACAGTCTGGCTTCGTGCTTGGTTCGTTGTCAGCCCTTGTGGTGGGAGGCCCTATCAAAATGCTGAAAATCAAGAGCCCGAATTAAAGGCCGAAGGTATGAAAAATTGAAATGCCGCAAAATCAAAATGCCGAATAATCAAAACGCCAAAAAGACATGATGCCGAAAGCCACATGAAAAAGAAATGACACGCTTAGTGACTACCACTTGCTCGTTTTCCGCCAGACCATTTTCCACTGACACGAGTTAGTTTTACTCGTTCTGCAAAGGCATCAATCAGTATCAGTAGATTAAACTGATGTAAAATTTTGTATTTTTCTACCTATATCCTAAAGCAAGGCATATCAGTTGGACAGGACAGCTCTTATTGTTCAGCAGAAACAAACAGCGCTGCCCACTGTTCAGAGTACAGAAGCACCATCAATCTGCAGCAGCTATCATTTCATTAATTCGGAGGGAAAGGACGAAGACGCAGTTGGCGGTGCGCTCCCAGAAGGGAAAAGCAAAACGTAGCTGCAAGGATGGTTATGTTTACGTGCTTGACAAGAAAGTAAGTCCTAGACACAATTGCAGGTGCGAGAAGCGAGGCCAATGCAACGCCAGAATGACTGCCGACCTTCCTGTAGGAGGTATCGCAAGATTATCTCGAAGACAGTGAGTGACCCACGCAAGCCATGCTCCAGATAACTGCAGAGTTACAGTTCTTCATACTCAAGAATGGATCAAAGCTCTGGCGGCGGCCTTGGGCGAGGCACCTGCGAAGATTGTGCAGCAGGCCACGGCAGACGTAGCAGCGTCTTCAGGCAGAACCTTCCAAGCAATGAAGCCGTCTGCCATGCAGGAGCTCATCATCAAGGGCGAGTTCAGAACAGCCTATAGATGGCCGGGAGTTTCTGCGGTGAGACTGCACCAGCGCCCATATGGAGCTAGACTCCCAATTTTTTTTCACGGACGAAAACTTGAGGAATTTGAACGACGCTCCGATGTGGCTCATGGACAGAACATTTAAAACTGTGTCGCCGCTTTTCGAACAGTCATACACAATTCACGGTTATCTTCATGGCCATGTGTTCTTTTTTGTTTACTGTCTAATCACTCAACAAACTCAGATGGCGTTTGAGGCACTCTTCGAAGAAGTGCTGAACTTCACCGCAGATATGGGACTTCCACTATAAATCCAAAAACTGGGAGTACAGACCTTGAATTGGCAACAATAAACGCTATTTGGTCGTTGCTCCTGTCGTCGGATGTGCATGGTTGTCTGTTCTACTTGTGCCAATCAGTATGGGGGAGAGTGCAGCACCTAGGACTGGCAGTGCTCTACAAAAATGATGTGGCTGGTTTCGCCATCAAGGGGAGGCAGCTTTCAGCCCTTTTGCTCTTGCCCACCGAAGAAGTATGAAATGCGTATGCGTCCTTGAAATCACTCTTCCCGCAAGAAGCCTCCGACCTGCTGCGATGGTGGGAGAACAACTACCTACCTCCTTAGGAATTCACGCCGCAGTGTTGCCGCAAGTAAAACCGCCGTGATCATACGAAGTCCACCAGTATTCCCGCCATCCCTCTGGAATGTGCTTGCCCTCGCTCAGAACGGATTTTCAAGGGGCAACAACGCCGTCGAGGCATGGCACCGACGATGGGAGATATTGGTTGTTGGACACCACGTAAGTGTCTTACGGCTCATCCCCACCATGAAAAGGGAGCAAGCTAGCGTCAAAGACGAAATCGAGGGAGCGATCAGAGGCCAACATTGCCGCTCACAAAGCAAGAACCAAAAGTTGCGCAAAAATTGTTTGGCAGCGGCTCTCGAAAACCGGGACAATGTCGACGTTCTCAGCTTCCTTCGAGGAATTGCACACAAGTTATGTCTGAAATGCTAAAAACAAGGAATCGCTCTGCTATGTGACAAGATAAACAGAAACATATGTTTCCTTTTTTGAAGGCTTGAACCATGCGAAGGGAAGCTGTACTCGGGGACAACCTTTCATGGTTATTAGAAAAGAGGGCGAAAGTGTGTGCACATCGGCC